GCAACTAGGTGAGTGGGAAGAATGGAGGAGATGTCAAACTGACTGAAGTCAGGTATGTGGAAGGAATGGGAGGGCAGTGTAGTGTTGGGTGCAGGTGGTGATGCGGTACATGTCGGGATGCACAAACGGCCGAGAACAATTGAGTGGTCCGACTGACCGAGAGGGGCTGAGGGGCGCGGATCGCAGATGCTGGCTGCAGTGTCAGTGATCATCAGGTCCAGAGCAGCCTCATTGCCTTTGTGGGAGCGGTGGGTCGAGAATGTGACGTGTTGCTGCAAGGCAAACATGTCAAGAAGACATGAAAGGTGGTGGCCTGCAGTGTCTGTTGTTGTTCCATACCAGGTGGAACATTTAGCATTGAAATCTCCCATGATGAGGACTGGCGAGCCAGGGGTCCGTATTTTAGTCAAGCAGCTTTGAAACGAGGCGTAAAAGTTATCTATCACCGACGGGTCGGTGGACGGTGGGCGGTAGACAGCCGCAATTTGGATGGGCTGCTGGCGCGTGGGGCAAGCAGAGGTTCCAGTGGATGGCGATATCTCTACCCAGGTAGCTTCGAATTGCGGAAGATGTAGGTCTGTACGGTGGGTAATAGGACCAAATGCACTTGATTTTACTAAGATAGCAACACCGCCATAGGCCAGGAAGTCGTTGGTGTTAATTTTATTCTCGGAGGTGGGTCGATCCCTTCGAAAACATTCATAGCCTGGGAAGGGGAGGGAAATTTGTGGACACAACCAGGTTTCAGTTATGCAAACAACAAGGGGACAGCTGGTCGTGAGAAAGTCGGATAGCTCAGCAGATTTGTTTCTAAGGGAACGTGCATTGATACAGGCTACGGGAAAGGAGGCTAGGGGCGTTGAAGGATAGAAGGGTGTTGCGTTAGGGTCAAGTTGAGGTGTTGGTTTACTCATTGTTCAGATTCAGCCTGGTCAGTGTGGAACCTCCATTTCCGGATACTAATTTTGTCAGGCCAGAAACCAGGCCCTTGGATCTTGTCTCCACAGTTCTCTCCCACAACCAGGTGGGCATAAGCTGTACCAAAGTACCGTGATTCTGAGATTGAGCAGTGAAAAACTTCGACATCTTTCTTTTTACACCACAGTTCAATTGAGGCAGCATCGCATCCAAGGTCTACATTGCCAAGGTAGAAAGCCGTGCGCTTCACCCGCTCCACGCCCTGAAGGTCAGTGCGTTTGGTACGGGCTGGCTCTTTTGTGAACTGGCTTGTGATAGTGCGTTTCAGTGGACTACCGGTAGTGTTGGTGTCGGCTTGTGCAGGGCGGCGGCGGTGTGGGTTTTGCCACCCATTGTCGCTTGTGCTTGTATCTTGCGTTTGAGGTTTGGCGGGCAGGTCAGGTCTGGCCGTTGGGGTACTACTTCTTGTAGTAGTACGTGTACTACCGTCCGTGCTGGTGTGTGTGCCTGTTGGTGAGGCAGCTTTCCTTGCAGTGCTACTGTACAATTTCTCTTGGTCAGTGCAAGCTGGGGACGCTACGGGTACGGGATTTGTGGACTGCATTCTCTCTACTACTCCCTTCAGTTGAGCAACTTCTACTTGCAAGGAGACAATGGCGTCTGTCTTGCTCGTTCGAAGACATTCTATTTCTGAAGCCATACCTTTTATAGTCTCGTTAAGGAGCTGAAAAGTGGAGAGCAGGTCGCTTACCATTTGGTCTGGTGACTTCCGTATTCCTAGTCCTTCCTTGCGAAGGGCAACAACCAAGTCTTGTCGGCCCATAGTCTCCGGGTTGGTCAGTCCTGTAGCTCGGGCAACTGTGAGCAGCTCCTCGTATGTCAGCAGAGCTAAGTCCATATCTTCGTTAGTCGCCATATTATTGAGTCATACATCAACACTAGAACAAATCAGTGTAGGTGCGGTCCTGCCGAAGGCAGCTACACCGGTGAAACAAACTCGACCGCGGAGCGCAAAAACTTGCATCCGCACTCTCTTTCCGATGTAGTATACACATACATGTATTACTATGCGCTGCTGATCGCATCGAATCAACATGACGATTCTGCACTACATGCAACAATCTGTAAGCGCTTAGGGCCAGGTTCCACTGGGGCTCCGCTGCTCGTCATCCGCTGCTTGAAACGTCATCATTACCATAGTGACCACGGCTTGAGCTGGAGCAGTGAGGCCGTGGTTCACCGTGAGCTTTCTCTACGATTCTTGATCAAAAACTGCGACCCGCAGTCGGGGCTCGACCTGTTTCCCGTATTTTGCATTGTTTTGTACGCGAGAATTTTAAATTTCAATGCGTTGCGCAGGCCAGATGACGAGGATTTATTTATTTCACGCAGGTAGGCAGGTATCCACAATCGGTGTTGACTCCGAGACCCACGGTCGGACGAACTGCCCAGGCCTCACCACCACTGCCGTTTCCGTGCTGCCTTCTCGATACATACGTATGTACACTGTCTATCATGTGCACATTCACATGTCTGAAGGTTTGTGGTTTTTCAATAAAAAATAAATAAATACAAAAAGTAGACCACAACCGCGGTACCGCGAATGGCGAGTGTCAGTGGAACCGCGCAGCTCCACTGCATGCTGCCAATTGCCGCGGATCAGCGGAGCAGCGGAGCCGCGGAGCCGCACCGAGGTCTATCGATTGGATTGCCATGTCCACGACAGTAGTAGCACAAACTTCAGGCTCTTCAACATTATGAAAATTAATGTTTTTTGCGATGAAACTTCCGTGCCTTCTGTTCAGGTTGTGACGTACCTTCTCCCGTACACTGTCTCCTTCCACATCAATAAGGTGATATACCGGCACGAGAAAACGAGAGCAAGAACAATGATTTATGTATTTGCATGATGTATATTGGTCTCGCATTAATTAAACATCGTCTGCTTTGACCCGGTTATATCACCTCATTGCTGTACATAAGTCATTGTATTTGTTCTTGTTTGCTCTTGCTTGAATATCACCTGAGGAGAAGGTATGGAAGTTTACTCGCGAAACCATTAGTTTTGAGAATGTTGTTGAAGAAACCGAGGTTTGTCCTGTCAACTTAACCAGCAGTCAACAATAATGAGTTACTTGCGTCACCTCAAACCCGCTCGTAAGTCCAATGTCTTGAAGAGTCCTGGTATATGTTTCCAAGTTGGCTATTCGAGGATCGCAGCATCTCGGCTTCCTCCGAAATCCTCTCGAGTGCTGGACTCCAGCACACACAACACGCACATAACGCTCTCTCAGCGTGTGGCCGCCTGCGTTCACTGCACATAGCATTCCACATTTACCCGTAGCGATGCCGCTACTTCACACTGCATTCCACATCTACCCGTAGCGCTGTCGTTGAGGTGCCCAAACACGCAGCTGCGCATGTGACATGGGTATAGTTTGCGCCACGCGGGAGGCTGTTCCCCTCTAGCTTTGTCGGCAGCTGAACCTACCACTGTACCAGCGCAACTGAACACATAATTATGTGCATGCACTCGTGCTTTTTGTTCCTGTTGTAGTTTACCACTCTCACTTGCTGTTTGCTCCAACACTCGCTCTTTGCCAAATTTTCCAAATTTTCGGTTTCCTGTACCTCCAACGTTTTCCATTCGAGACTATGGCCTCCCCTGCATTCAGTGCACTCACCTTGCGGCACCTAAGCGCCAATCTCGTGGAACGGGGACTTAGTCCCGCCGGCAAGAAAGCGGAGCTGCTTTCCCGGTTAATGCAATCCGAAGTCGGACCCCACGCGGAGTTCTCCGGGAACCCCGCCGAGGCCGCGCGACAAAATGTCGAGGACAAGGACACCCACGAACCTACTATACCTGTCGCCCCCGTGTCCGCCGCAATCACGACCGCCATGAAACCGTTTATGGACCGACTGAACCGTCGTCCACCGTCAGCCCATAGATCTACATGTTGCTTTTGGTGAGGATCCCGTGTATGGAGACCCTAGTAGTAGTAGTACGCATGAACTGGGTGATCAGGCGCAGGCCAGCACTAGTCGTACACGTACACCCGCAGGTCCGCATGCCCCGCACATGGACATCGATCCTGCTGCTGAGAACCCTGAGCATGAGGCTGAGGCTAAACACGAACAGCGTTCCGCCAACGATGTCGATGTCGACTCGCCGTCCCAGCTGTCGATGCTCACGCAGTTGGTCACGCAAAAGACGCAAGTGCAACTCACTCAGACCACACGGCGATTCTCTCAGAAGGTGCCACTGGCTAAACTGTGCCCTGGGGACGATGTTGAGGCATTCCTCACCAGTTTCGAACGATCCATGCGGGCGTACAGAGCTCCTCCGGACGATTGGTTCTATTTGCTAAGCCCACAGCTGACTGACAAGGCCTTGTTGGCATACACGGAACTTGCCTCCACCGAGGCTGACAGCTACGACCGCGTGAAGGAGGCCATTCTCCATCGCTATGCCGTTACCCCCGAAATGAGCAGCCGTAAATTTCGGGGCACTACGCTGCAGAACTCGGAGTCCATGATTGACTTCGCCGTCCGTGTCCGTGACACTGGCAGTCGTTGGCTAAGCCCCGCATCCTCGCACGAAGCCATATGTGAGTTGATCCTACTGGAACAGTTCTTGTCTGTGCTTCCTTTCGGTTTACGCACTTGGCTGCGGGAACGCAAACCGTCGTCCCTCGACCAGGCTGCTTCGCTAGCGCAGGATTATCTTGACGCACGGGATCGCGTACAGGAGCCCAGCAGTGGTCGTCTCAGCAGCGGCAGGGAACAGTCTCTTGTCTGCCACATTTGCCAGCAGCGTGGCCATGGCCATGGATTGTTCTAAGCGACGGGCACCATTGCCGAACACTAACGCACGTGCCCAAGTGCAGGCATCATTTGCGTCACCCGGACACCGGACGTCCGAGTCATCCAACCTTGCTCGAGTTCGCAGGGCTGCACCAACCTCAGGCTCAGCGCGGGACCGGCCAGTATCTTCCCCAGCTAACCCCAGTCAGACCCACTAGTCATATGACCGCCCAGTGACTTCTCGTCCTGACCGTCCCACACCACCACCGAGACGCCCCATGTCGCAGCTGCGTTGCTATAATTGTCGTGAGCTGGGGCATATTGCTATTAAATGTCCGAATCACACTCGCACCGCTCTGTTTTCCAGCCCAGATCAGGAAGTCCAAGATGCTGGTACAGTTCATTTGCTGCCGGATGAGGATGATCTGCTGGGTGAAGCATGTTTCTGCTCACCCCCTCCACCTGTAGAATCTGGTCGGTTGCCCCCTACTAATCCCAGCGCCGCCATGGGACCAGCATCGGAGTACACCGTCGCTGGGTACGTGAATGGTACCCACGTCTCGAGCATCGTTGTTGATACCGCGTTTGGCCGCACCATGGTACACGGGACCTTGGTCTGGGACCAGGATTTGTCTGGTGAGCCTACCTCCATTTGTTGTGCCCACAGTGATGTGGCCAGTTACCCCATGGCCGATCTGACCATCACCATCGACGGCATGGTGTACTATGTCAAGGCAGCAGTGTCCGAGCACCTGCCCCGTCACGTGTTGCTTGGCCATGATGTGCCCCACATACATGAGTTGGTCCGGCTGTGTCAGCCAGTCGCCACGGGCGTCTTGGTCTCTACACGTGCACAGGCCAAGGCTTCACCTGAGTCGACTGGTGCTGCTGGTTTGCACGACATCTTCCCGTTCGAGGATGAACTGTTTGAGCATTTGGCCTCGAATGCAGCTTCTTTGCATGCACTGCCGGCGGACCTATCTAGGTGACACCGCCACCTATCTCTGCACCCGATTTGCCAGATGCCACCCGTTTCGCCGACGAGCAACGGCGTGACCCATCTCTTAGCCCATGTTGGGACTATGCTACTGGCCGACACAAGACACCCGTCAATGGCAGTACCTTCTGTGTTCGCCAGGGCCTCCTCTACCGAGAATACTCACCGGATGGTGTAGCTGGGATGGATACCACCAGCCCCTACTACCGCCTTCAGTTGGTTCTGCCCAAGGAACGGAGATCCACCATTCTGTACCTCGGCCACACCGTCCCCATGGCTGGCCACATGGGACAGGCGAAGATATCCCAGAGGATTCTTCTCCGTTTCTGGTGGCCGACTATTCTTCAAGATGTCGAGCAGTATTGTTCCCGCTGTGAACCATGTCAGCGCACCGCCCGTGTTCTGCGTCACGATCGGGCGCCACTTATACCTCTTCCTGTTATTGGCGAGCCCTTCCGGGTGGTAGCTATCGATATTATCGGCCCCTTGCAGCGTACGCAGTCCGGCAAGAAGTACATCCTCACCTTGGTGGATTATGCAACCCGCTATCCGGAGGCAGTCGCTCTTTCCAATATTGAGTCGACTACCGTGGCTGATGCGTTGATCTCCATCTTTTCCAGAGTAGGACTGCCAGACAAAATCCTCTCTGACCAATGCTCCAACTTTACATCGGACGTCCTCCGGCAAGTTGCTGCTTTACTCCGTATCCAGCTCACCACATCCACTCCGTACCATCAACAGACCAATGGCCTTCCTGAACGGTTCAATGGTACCCTCAAGAGTATGCTTCGTCGGTTTGCTGCTGATGCGCCACGAAGTTGGGACGAGGTGCTCCCATATGCTTTATTTGCGTATCGAGAGGTGTCTCAAGCCAGCACTGGTTTCTCACCATTTAAGCTCCTGTACGGCCGCCATGTCCCACTGGATCTCGTGCGCGATGCTTGGGCTCAGCCAACGGAGGAGCTCCGGACTACTACTGCCCAGTTCGTCCTCACCATGCGGGACCGGCTTGAACGCATATCGATTGAGGCTGGCTCCCACCTTGCCACGGCGCAGCAACGGCAGATGGCCTACAATGACCGCCTGAGTCGGGAACGCACATTTGCTTCCGGCCTCGGCTTGCAAAATGGAAGCCGTGTGGCAAGGCCCTTACCCTGTTCGGCGTAAGGTCGACAAGGTCAATTATGAGATTGACATGGGGCCCCACCGCACGAAGCGATATCGAGTTTTCCACATCAACCTCCTGCGGAGGTTTTGCCGGCCCCAGCTCGCGGCCTTCACCGTAACTATGGCGGAGGACCACCCAGACACGGAGCTGCTGCTTGACGACTGCTACCCTCTATACGTTGATGGTGGCCGTCCTACCATTAACCCCGACCTTTCGCCGGACCGGCGGCAACAGCTCGAAATGCTGCTATCGGAGTTTGAGGATACCCTCTCACCCCAGCCTGGCCAGACGACCGTGGTGGCTCACTCCATCCACACTGGCGACGCCACACCCATTCGTTCCCGGCCATATCATCTTGCCGCTGCGCACCACTCTGTTGTCCGCGATGCCGTTGACGAAATGCTGGACATGGGCGTCATACGCGCATCCCGCAGTCCGTGGCCCTCACCCGTTGTGCTTGTGCCGAAGAAGGACGACTCGATCCGCTTCTGTGTCGACTACCGTGCCCTTAATCAGGTGGCCCAGTTCGACTGTTACCCGATGCCGCGGGTGGACGAGATCCTCGACTCTGTCGGGTCTGCCCAGTTTCTCTCCACCCTTGACCTGTCCAGGGGAGGGGGTATTGGCAGATCCCTCTGGCAGAGGATGCGTGTGCCAAGATGGCCTTCACCACACTGTTTGGCCTGTACGAATTCACTATGATGCCATTCGGGCTCCATGGAGCGCCTGCAACATTTCAGCGTTGCATGGATACCGTCTTGGCTGGTCTCCCGTTTGTCCTGGCGTATTTGGACGATGTCGTCATCTTCAGTCCGACTTTTGAGGACAATCTTGTCCAGCTCCGCCACGTTCTTGGTCGCCTTCACGACGCTGGGCTCACTGTGAAGCCGAAGAAGTGTTTATTGGGTTTTTTTTTTTTTTTTTTTTTTTACTAGAGCCACGTAAACCCGTCATGTATGAGCCATGAATAAGGGGAGTGGTGGCGTGGTCTGGGATGCTCTGCCGACCTTGGGTCTTGGCTTCATCACAACCAGGCGCGCCAATAGCAGAGAGAGAAAGAGAGAGAAACATAGACAGAAAGAGAGAGAGAGAGAGAGAGAGAGAGAGAGAGAGAGAGAGAGAGAGAGAGAGAGAAAGAGAGAGAGTGAGAGAGAGAGAGAGAGAGAAAAAGAGAGAGAGAGAGAGAGAGAGAGAGAGAGAGAGAGAGAGAGAGAGAGAGAGAGAGAGAGAGAGAGAGAGAGGAGAGAGAGAGAGAGAGAGAGAGAGAGAGAGAGAGAGAGAGAGAGAGAGAGAGAGAGAGAGAGAGAAGAGAGAGACAGCGAGAGAGAGAGAGAGAGAGAGAGAGAGAGAGAGAGAGAGAGAGAGAGAGAGAGAGAGATAGAGAGAGAAAGAGCGGGGAGGGTTGGGGAGCAAGAGAACTAAATAATAGAACTAAATAAAGTATTTAAAAAAATGAGAGAGAGAGAGAGAGAGAGAGAGACAGAGAGAGAGAGAGAGAGAGAGAGAGAGAGAAGAGAGAGAGAGAGAGAGAGAGAGAGAGAGAGAGAGAGAGAGAGAGAGAGAGAGGGAGAGAGAGAGAGCGCGAGCGGGGAGGGTTGGGGGCAAGAGAGGGGAGCGAACTAAATAAAGTATAATTATATAATGCGTAAGGGGTGCACATTTAGATCCAGAGAAAAGAGTAAGCAGGGCACGAGGCGTATGGCAATATGTAGCAGTGTGTGGGCAGATGTGCATACATCTTACAAAGTGTCAGTGGCCCAGTGCCATTGCTGGGCACGGAGGTGCCGGAAGACAGACACTTTGAAACTTTGCAGCCGTTTCCGGTCAGGTGGCTGGCTAAAGACGGCGGGTGGCAGGGCATTCCATACAGGGACAGCACAGGCGGGGAAAGCTCTACGGCAACTTTCCCAGCTATTGACAGGTAGCCCTGTCTCAAGCTGGTAGTTATGCATGTCGAAACGGACGAGAGAGAGACGAGTGGGTCGAACATGGGCTGGTCGGGGGGCTTGAGAGGGAGGCAAGAGCTGACGAAGTGGGCTGGTAGGATTGGAGCACAGTAGCTTGTAAATGTAGGTACACGCAGATACCATGCGCCGGATAGACAGGCTTTGCAGCATTGCGCCGGGGCCAATCAAGTGGAGGGCTGAGCGCTGCGTCTGGTCAAGTCGCTGCAAGTGACAATCTGCTGCGCCCATCCAGACCAATGGGCAGTACTCCATTACTGGGCGTACAAACCCATGGTACACTGTAGCTCGGCTGCGAGAATCCAGGAGCGGCGAGGCCTTCCGCAGGAGCCCGAGACGCTGGCGTGCTCTGATGGCGATGGTACGGAGGTGGTTGCGGTGGGAAAGTTGGCTGTCCAAGGTTACCCCAAGAAGCTTGAGGTTACTCTCTCCATTCAGGGGGACACCCGCAAACTGTACTGCTGGGAGGTCCCAGGCGGGGCGGTGATGGTCAATAGTCATGGCCTGGGACTTGGCTGGCTCGAACGCAATTCTCCAGCTGGTGCCCCAATCCACAAGGGCATCGAGAGCATTTTGCAGGATTGTCGAGCTGTGGTCAATGGTATCCATGGTGGACAGGCACTGAAACAGCGTTGTGTCGTCGGCATAAGCGGCCAGATCTGGTTGAAACTCCCTTCCTTGGCCATGTGATTGGTCATGGTCGGGTGCGTGCGGACCCTGGCAAGTTGCAAGCCATCGACGATTGGCGACAGCCCACGACCAAGAAGGCCCTGCGTTCCTTCCTGGGGTTGTGCAGCTACTATCGTGGTCTCATTCCTCACTTTTCAACCATCGCGGAGCCCTTGGTAGCCATGACGTCGAAAAGCCACCCCAACACCCTCCACTGGACGACCTCAGCTGCACAGGCCTTCGTTCAATTGAAAGGCCTCCTTGTCTCCGACCCGGTCATTGTTGCGCCGAACTTTGCTGCGGGGTTCTACCTACACACGGACGCGTCCGATGTTGGTTTGGGCGCTGTCCTGACCCAGCGTGATGCCCAGGGCACCGAACACCCCGTAGCATATGCCAGTCGCAAGCTCCTCGACCGTTAACGCCGTTATGCCACCATCGAGAAGGAGTGTCTCGCCCTCAAGTAGGCCATTCTCAAATTCGCTCCATATCTCCTCGCCAGACGCTTCCCCTTGATTACCGACCACCGCCCTCTTCAATGGATTGCTCAGCATCATAGTGGCAATGCTCGGGTGGCCCGATGGGCCATTGCTCTGCAGCCATTTGCTTTCACCGTTGTGCACCGGCCTGGCGCTCTCAATGGCAACGCCGATGCATTGTCCCGCAAGATGTGACTTTCTTCTCCTGCTGTGTTGCACCTAGCTTCTTCGTCTATTGTTTCTCCCTTCATTTAGTCATTGTCCCAGATGGTATCTCGGAACGGAGAAGGGGAATGGTGTGATGATATTGTTCCTTTATATCCTTTAGTGCCGTTACATCCTATATCTATTGTTTCTCGTTTAGTCATTGTCACAGATGGTATCTGTGACGGGAGAAGGGGAATGGTGTGATGATATTGGAACTATATCATTTGGTGCCATTAAATATCCCTATACATATGCATATACAGTAACTATAACCTTCACATCCTCATATTCACACCTGTCCATATATGACATTAGAATAGCATGCTGCGTACTACTTCCCGTACTACTGGTACCTTTTCTAGTACTCACATATTGTACAACTTTACACACCAAGATAAAATAACAAGGATGACAGCCCTTCAGGGTTAGTTGTCGGTTAGCCGAACAAGAGTGGGTTGTTGGTTTGTCCTCCCCTAGGCCCTTCACAAGCCGTCACGTCATTAGGACACAACAGCACAAACACTGTGCACTACCATGTTCGATGTTGCACGTCCGGTAACTGGTCACTGGTGCATACGGCTGTGGTACTGGCAGTCAGGACTCAGGGACGCGGAGGCCGACTTGTCAGCAAGCAACATCCGTGCTGTGCAACCCTTTCGGCCCAGCTCCGCGGCAGCCCCTGGCGCCGCACGCTCGGCAACTGAGCGGTGTCGACTCTACAACTGGGGCTTGTGTCGTCAAAACCCCTGTTTGTACGCTCACCAATGCAGCACCTGCAACGTCTCCGGACACGGCGCACGAGAGTGTCGCACAGGGCAACCAGCCGGCAAGGGTTCCGTTGCGCCAACAGTCGCACTGGACGCCGTTCACTTGGATCGGCTTGAGTCCGCTCCGGCCTGGCACCCTGACCGCGCATTCGTTAACTCCCTAATACATGAATGTTCTCTCCATTTTTGTTCAACAGGCTCCCCGACGCCCTTTGGTGGGTAGCCACGAATAAATTCAATGTGCATGACCTGCTGCACTACCTCGATGATTTCCTCACAGTTCAACCTCCAGAGCCGCCACACTATGCTCGTCGGCAGTTTCACACATTACTCGCAGTCATGGACCACCTGCAAGTCCCGTTAGCCGAGGGCCCTGACAAGGTGTGCCAGCCGTCCTCAATTGTCACATTTTTGGGCATAGAGTTAGATTCCCAAGCATGGGAGATGCGGCTGACAGCCTCAAAGCTGTCGGAACTAAAGAGCACCCTTGACTCCTCGGTACACCGAGTACAAACGGGAATTGCTCTCGTTGGCAGGCTCTTTGTCATTTGGTGCCAAAATAGTACCGCCCGGGCGCACTTTCTGCCAGCCAAGACACATCTCTTGACAGGACCCAGCGCCTGATCCAAGAGGCTCCAAACAATATAATCCCGTTGGCACGCTTGCATTGAGTCATGGAATGGCAGATCACTACTGCTAGACCAATCCTGGTGCAAACAGACCGAGATGCAGCTGATCACGCATGCTTCTCACCATGGCTATGGCTTGGTCTGTGGCAAAGAATGGACGTATGGCCAGTGGGAGGCACTCCACAAGGATCTGTCCATAGAATGGCGCCCTTACCTGTGTGACGCTAGGCAAACGACTGTGCAATCGTCGACTATTAGTTCAATGTGACAACGAAGCGGTCTGC